TTCTTCAAGCAGAAGAATGATGCGTTTGTGATATTCAAAGAGTGGAAAACAAATTATTGAAAAGTAGACTAGAAACCAGATTAAACGTCTACGCACAAATAATAGGTTGGAGATACTTCTGTAGGGCTGAAGACATCTTGAGATACTTGACAGTGCTCGAAACTCCTCAACAACATGGTATGATAGAACGAATTAATAGAATCTTGATGGAAAATGTTTGATGTATGCTTTCAAACTCCGAGTTGTCTAAGACTTTTTAGTTTGAAGCTACTACCACAACTTGTTTAGTCATTAATCGTTCACTCTTGACTGCCATTGGAAAAGGACACCAGAAGAGGTATGTTCTAGTAAACCTTCTTGTTGTACTAATTTGAAGATTTTTGGTGACTTGCTTATGTTCATTTGGCTAATGAGAAGTTGAAGCCTACCTCTAGAAAGTGTGTCTTTCTTCAGAATAAATCAGGTGTGAAGGGGTTATGATTTGTGGTATCTTGAGATAAGAAAGCTAGTGATTTGTAGAGATGTAATATTTGATGAAGTTGTTATGGTTTGTGATTCACCTTGTAGGGATTCTGATAAAATTAAGGAATAGAATCATTCAACTCGGGTGGAGTTGGAAATTGATCCAGTGGAACAATCAAAGGTTTCAGAAGGTTCTACTTCAGAAGAATCTAGTTCAGAATGATAGACAATAGTACTTTGCCTACACCACCAGCAACACACAATATTCAATTGCAAAGGATGGATTTCGCAGACAGATTAGACCTATATAGAAGTATGGAGAAGCAAATTTGGTAGCTTATGCTCTAAATGCGGCTGAAAAAATTGATTCCATTGGGGAACTTGTTACATATACCGAGACAGTCAATTGCAGTTATTCTAGTAAATGGTTGATAGCTATGTAGGAGGAGATGAAATCATTTAATAAAAATTATAATTGAGACTTGGTTAAAGTATCTAAGGATAAAAGAGTTGTTCGCTACAAGTGGATGTTCAAAAGGAAAGAAGGGATATTATGGATTGAAGATACTAGGAATAAAGCCAAACTGGTAGCAGAGGGTTATAGTTAGATTTCAGGTGTCAACTTCACGGATGTGTTCTCACTAGTTGTAAAGCATAGTTCAATTTAGGTTTTACTTAGGATAGTGGCAAAGAGAAACTTGGAACTTAAATAGATGGATGTCAATACAGCATTTTTGCATGGAGAACTTGGAGAGAACATTTACATGCAACGTGGGTTTCATAGTTTCTAGGAATGTTTGCTGAAGAAATCCTTGTATAGACGAAATCAGTCATGAAGACAGTGATACAAAAGGTTTGATTCATTTATGACTACTCATAGGTTCAGCAAAAGTAATTTTGATAGTTTTGTGTACTTCAAAAAGGAAGATGGTGGATCGATCACATATTTGCTATCATATGTTGATGACATACTCATTACAGCCAAGGATAAAGTAGAGGTGAGAAAGGTGAAGTCTCAACTTAGTAAGGAGTTTGAGATAAAGAAATTGGGTACAGCCAAAAAAATTTTGGTATGGAAATCTTAAGTGATAAAAAGGCTGGCAGATTATATTTGAGTTAGAAGGGGTACATTGAGAAGGTGCTTTAAAGGTTTAATATGTTGAATGTTAAGGCTGTCAGTACTCCTTTGGCTATCCACTTCAAATGCCATCTAGATTGTGTCCTCAATCAGATGAAGACATTAATTATATGTACTTCAAATTGTCATCTGGAATATGTCAATCAAATGAAGATATTGATTATATGTCCCGGGTTTGAAGCATGGTTGGTTCACCAATGTATACTATGGTTTATACAAAATCAAATTTGGCACATGTAGTCAGTGCAGTGAGTATGTACATGGCAAATCCTAGAAAGGAACATTGGAAAGTAATGCAATGGATATTTGGATACTTGAAGGGCCCAACTAATACTTGTTTGCATTTTGGAAGAAATGCAGCTAGAGTAATAGGGTATGTAGATTCAAATTATGTAGATGATCTTGATAAAAAAAGATCACTTACAGGGTATATGTTTACCTTTAGAGGCTATGCTATCAGTTGTAAAGTTACTTTGCAAAGTACAATAGTTTTGTCTACAACAGAGGCAAAATACATGGCTATTACATAGGCATGTAAGGAGGCTATATGGCTAAGAGGATTAATTGGCTAAATCAATGAAGACTTACATATTTCTAGAGTTTATTGTGATAGTTAAAATGCTAATTTTTTTATTTTTTTATTACTAAAGATTAAATTTTCTATGAGAGGACTAAGCGCATTAATGTGAGGTACCATCTTGTGCGTGAAGCAATTGCTAAGGTTGATACCAAGGATAATTCTGCTGATATGATGACAAAACCACTTCTCATTGCTAAGGTTGAGCATTGTTTAAACTTAGTTGGTATTTGTCATTGATTTAGTCTATTGGGGCTTGTTTGGAAGAAGTGGAGTGATGTTTACTTAGGACTTGCATTAGAATTTGGTTCAAGATAGAGAATTGTTTTAATGTGACCCAAGTTCTAATAGGTATTGGAGTCGTATTTGAAGCGGTCTTTGGTAGATCAAACTTATAGAGTGGGAAAAATTATTTATGCATTTTCACTAGCGATGTTCTCGCTTGCTTGTTGCTGTCTGCTAGGGATAGCAATCGGGCTCACCGGCTCTGGCTACCTATGACGTGGCCCGAAAAAAGCTCGAGTTGGCCCAGTTTAGGGCTCGGGCTTGTGTGGCTTGCAGGCCTTTATATAAAAAACTAATTAATTAATTAATTAATTAAAGGCAGCAACCTGCTACCTTGTTTGTTAAAACCAGGCAACTAAAAACTTGGCTCGATAAGGCCCAAGCCAAAAGCTCGGACCAAGCCTTGATTTCTTAGTCGAGAAAAAACTTGGCTCAACTCGAGCTCGCAAAAAAAGTTAGATCATTATACTCGAGTCGAACTCGAGCCTCGAGTTTCAGCTCACGAGCCGGCCCGGCTCGACTCGTTGACACCACTATTGTCTACCGCTCGAACGACAGTATTTGCGTTTTAACGCATTTTGGACTCATATTCATCTACAACTTGGTTTATGGAGTTGTGTATATATAAGTCACAGCTTGTATTGATTCATAACATTCATATAACATCTTGAGAGATTTAAATCTTAATTGAGAGTATTGAGATCTTGTAAATACAACTGCTATCGATTATAGTGAATTTCTCTTTCTCTGCCTATAGTTTTTTTCATCTTGGATTTCCACATAAATCTTTGAAATCTTTATTCTACTCTTGATTATTTCATTATTGTCATAATCTTTTGATCAATTTATAACACGTGCGATTTCAAAGATTTATACCACATGCAATAGCAATTTTACTATTTTGATTCAACATCTTTTTTGAGAAGAAATTATGGCACAAAATTCAACCTAATTATTGGCTATAAATACAACTCTTCATCAACAATTCAAGGGACGAAAATTGGAGGCTCTTGTACATAAAATTACACATTCATTATAAAGAGAGGAGCCATTGGAGATCACATATATATCTTTATTTCTTGTAAAGCTTTGAAGTAGCTTTCACTACAAAACATCTATTCTATATCTATACAGACCATTGCTAGGAATTGAAAAAGAAAAAAAAAATAAAAAAAATCAAGAAGAGGAATCAAGAACTACGGAAAAAATTCAAGATTTAAGACTATTTTCCATCTTTCATTCCAATCTTCAAATCCTGATAATGTTGTTTTTATTTAGTTGGTGTTCCTGTACTCATATGGTGCATTGCTAGTTGATAGATATTATGACAACGTTGAATCCTATGTTTGAGATCTTTGTATTAAATTATATATTTTCAAACTAGATATTTGTCTTTCTTGAATAATTGTTAAGAGTTTAGGGTCCGTTTGATTGCAAAGATGGAACTGAATTGCCTAGAAAACGAATTTTAAGGAATTGCTAAAAATTGTTTTCCTAGGAAATGTAAATTTTTGTATTTGATTGGTATAATTTTCGACGTGGAAAATATTGAAATGAAAGTATTTTTTGGTGTTCGTTTGATTTTGTTTTACATGAAAATTATCAATTAAAGAGATAAAAATTTCAATTCTCACCATTTTGGTGAGAATTCCAATTCTTATTGATGGAATTTGGTTTATGTGGCACTCAAGTTGGAAATTCAATTTTAGGCTGAAAAAATTATTATCAACGAGGTTAAATTGGAAGGTGGAATTCCAATTCCACCTCCAATCAAACACGGCCTTAATTTTTTCAATTAATTGGCCACTAGTTGATTGGATGTATGATTTCGATTGACATTGGAGAAAAAGAATACAAATTTAGCACAAGTTACAATCATTGTAAGGTCCTATACATGTCAGGATAATTGTTTATGCTTTGCATGATTTAGCCCCTGTTTGAACCACATTAATGGAATGAAAATACATTTTTGAATAGTATATTGATGGAAAATGTGTGGTTAAAAAATAAGAAAATATTTTGGATTTACGTGTAATATTATTTTATTAAAGAATGTGTGGTTGAAATGATGGCAAATCACTATTGAAAAATGTATTTTTTTCAAATAATGTGGCTCAAACAAAGCCTCAATAATGTTCTTGTAATTTTAATGCATCTTTATATGTTCGCATTTAGGATAGGGATATAACCGATCACATGTGAGGATATGTTTGATTCTACTCGAGAGATATTATTAAACATGATAAGATCATTGATCTTCATATCTAAATGAATATTGTCAAATTGTGAAATTGGTATTAAGAAGGAAGAATATAGGGGAAACGGGGTCCACACATGTAAACAAAGAGATAATACAGCAGAAAAAAGAAAGAAAAAGGATGGCAAAAAGTGTTCCAAGACGTTAAGATTCATCAATCAGTGCATCAAGCAAATGGGTAAGATTTACATGACTTGATCAGCATCATCAACAAAAAATAACAGCTATTCATTCAAAAATATCTGAAAAATTATAGACTACGAATTTATAAAGCACTCGTATGCACTTTATTAAATTTATTCAATAACTGATATTTAGACTAAACATGTAACATCAAATGTGTGAGGTTGAGCTTTTACAAACTTAGTTGTAAACTATCATCAATATGTCACACATGATGAAACAAAGGAAAATGAGCTGATTCTCTTATTAAGTATAACAAAAACACGAAAAACAAATAAGAATAACAAGGCACACACTATAATATAACATTAATCAAACATAAACCAAATCCCTTGCTGCAAAAAAAAAGTTCCTGTCATGGCAGAGAAGTTCTAATTTGCTGCTTAATGTTCTCTGTGGGAACCTGAGTGGAAGTTTCAGGTAATTCAACTTTCGGGGTTGCTGTTGTGGTTTGTTATGGTTTGATTATGAGAAGCCAATTGGGTATGCTGAGGCTTTGTATAATATAATTGAGATCGTGTAGGATCAGCAAATTCATAAGCATAACTAGTATTGGCAGCTGAAGGGGCAGCCACTGACTGAGATGGATGATGAATTTGAGTGAAGGCAACATATTGTGTTTGGTGCTGGCTGGAAGGAACCTGGAAAAATTGTGGAGCTGCTGCTCTGTAAACGCCTGCGGCCATTTCAGGTTTTGAGGCAGGAACGTTCCTTGCCTGATTGCTAGACTCTGAAGCTGAAGCTGGTGCCGATTCATCATAATTTGGTTGGTGTTGCACGGGCATATTATAGAGTTGGCTTGGTCTAGCAGGCAGAAAGTAAACGGGGTATTGCTGCTCAAGTCCAGGATAGTGAGAATGGTGTCGTTGCTGGGAAGAGTGCATTGCATGATATGAAGTAATTGGTGTTGCCCCGATGGGAACAAACTGTCGTTGCTGTTTCAATGGAGGATGATTTTTGTCAAACTGGCCAGATGATACATAACTCGATTCCTGAACTTGTGATTGCATTGGAACACTCCTAGTGTTTTGATCCCATGTCTTCGGATCAACTTGACTAACAGAACCCCTACTGTTTACAGATTGAATTTGAACAAGTGGTTCTTGATAAAAGGTCTGTCTCTGAATAGACAATGGATTTGTTGCACTTCCCTCACTGTACCCATAGAATCTAATTAAGTATTCAACCAAAAAGCACACAAGAAACAATTCATACATATATGTATCAGGACTGATCTCGTGCCTATAGTGGACAACCGATATCTTACCCATCAATGAGATGGCAAGATTCGTATTTTAGACCCACCTGTACCGGTGGACAAGATATCTCCTGCCAACTATAGGCAGGAGATCAATCCTGATATATGTAGATTCTTAAAATCAATCCAAGTTTTATGCTTTAGAAAATTGGAGTACCTTGAAACTGATTCAGGGGAATAAAACTCTAGAGCACTTCCTTGTTTCAGCTGAAACTGAACCTGCACCTGTTGTTGTGCTTGTTCAGGCTTTCTATTGCCACCATGATCCAACCCCTCGTCACCTGAAAAGACCGGATTCGTAGAACCTGAAACGGGGGCAAAAAAACCTCCAATCTCCTGTTTCTGCTGCAAAGCAACACCACCCACGACCTCAGGATTCATCTGCTGAAACCGCTCTTCAACTCCAAACTTCTGATTCCCCTCACTGGGCAATCTTATGGGCGGCAGGTTCGCTACAGAAGGCGAACTGGTTGTCGATCCAAATGAAGACGAGGTCTCCACCATTGGAGAATCAGGGACCGAATGCACATCTTCATTACCGGTATTGTTCAAACAGTTCTTTGATCCCTCCAATTGGGCTTCTAAATCAGTTCCTGTGGAGGCAGCCTTTCCACCAAAGTCATCGTCAAGTCCAAGTAGATAATTGATAAAAGATGAATCTGAAAACCCCAGGTCACTCACACCAGTAGATAAATTAGCAACTTTCTCATTCAGTACATTTAGAAACCAGCCTTCTGACTTAGTCGAAGAGGTCTCTCTCAGCAATTGCTCAATACTTGAAGATTTTGGAAACAAAAACAAACGAAGACGGCCTGATTTTTTCAAACTACTATTTCTGTTATTCAAACGGTCGTACTCGTCAACCATGTTCTCAAGGTCTTCATCTGAAGCGACAGAGATTAACGAGTCTAGATCTTCATTCGGGAGCTGGTATTTCAACGTGAAGGGCTGGTTGTTTAACAGGGTTTTCGAGAAGCGGTGGTGGAGGTTGGAAAGGGAGGTGTGGCGGTCGATAACGATCATATGGGTTTCTCCACCGATGTAGCATAGGGACTTGTCATGTGGACGGGGGA